GGTCAGCCACATCATCACCGTTTAGCCAAAGACCACAAGAAGCCCAAGTGGGGCTGACACGCTGGCGTGCCAGCGAGGAGCTTGAGTATTTCAGGAAGAGAGGACAGAAGAGCCTATCAACAACATCTGAACCTTCACTGGGGTTTCTGGACGAGTAGAGAGGGACTTTATTCCACTTTGGGGTTTTTTGTTTTTCTTTTTGTTTGGGGGGGGGGGGGGTTCGCACCCAATGACACTCAGGGTTACACCTGGCTCTGAACTCAGGAATTACTCCTGGCAGTGCCTGGGGGACCATATGGGATGCAGGAGATCGAACCCTTGTCCGCCACTACCCACTGTGCTATCGCTCCACCTCCCCTCCCTCGCCCCCTCTTTATTCCACTTCGGGTGCTGTCAGGAAGCGCGGACAGTCCTATGACTAAACGTTTCAGTAATCCTTGCCTTTTAGCAGTGCAGACCAGAGCAGGAATTAAGTATTAGGAGCTTCTCACTACGGAATCTGGCTACGGCCGGGAAATGGAGAAGTGATGGGAATAAGTGTGTCCGTGCGTGTGTGTATGTGTGTGTGTGTGTGTTTGTGTGTTAAAGGGTGGAGGTTCTCTCCATCTGGGGTGTGTGAGCATGTGTGTGTGTGCACCGAGGAGGGAAGGGGAGCACCTGAGACCAGCCCTGTACGGCCCGGCGCTGCGGGCTCTTTTGGTTCCTTCCTTGCTCTGGTGGCCCCATGAACCCCGAGTGGCCTCCTGTCCCTAGAATCTTGCTCCTGACCAGGCCAGGCGGTGAGGCCCTAGCCTGCTAACTGCAGTGAGAGCAGTTGTCTAAAAAGGTTTTACTGATTGAAACCTTCAGGGAGTGCAATTTAGTTATCGTCGCCTCTTTGGCAAACCTGGGGCACCAGCAAAGGATAAGGATGTGGGTCCCATGCCTCAATTTCTTAGACCCCTGTAAAAGGAAGAGGTCCCCTGAGCTGTCCTTTTGCCCCACTCTGAAGGAGCTGAGGCCTGCGAGCTTTATTTGTTGAGAAAGAGGGGGGAGGGCAGCAGAATGGCACCCATGGGTGGGAGGAGAAACTGAGGCAGTCGCCCCAGCTGCCTCCGGGCTGGATGTGAGGTAGGAGAGGGCGACTGGGGACCCTTCACGGGACCCTTCACCCACAGTGTGGGCAACAGGAACTGATGAAGCTTTTCCAAACCCAGACACCCTCCCCCACCCTCACTGGTGTTTCGTGAAATTCACAGCACCCCACTTGTTGCTAACGCCCCACCTACCAATTGGCGCTTTGATTAGTCTCTCTACCAGCTCTCCTCTCTCCTGCTTTGGTTGAAGTAAATATTTTGATGATTATTAATTAACAATAATATTTTTTAAAATAAATAGCAGTCATTAGAATGATTACCTATTAAAGAACAGATAAAGGCCAAGACAGAGAGAAACAGTGTTCTAAACCACAATGGGTATAAATCTTGGTCAATTGAGGAGTGCAAAATATTGTCAAGATGATTTCAGAAACCCACAGAATATTTATAAGTTACTCTGCATTATCTTTGTCTAAATCACATTGTGATTGTAAATGTTTGTCAATGCACTTTATAGTTCTCCTCAATAATGAGTTTGGTAAAATGACTTTCTTGAAATTACTTCATACAGTTGTCCTGAGGAGTAGATTTCCCTGGCAATTTGCAGTCTAGTTAGAGATGTAAAATAGTTAAACATCCCTATTTGCTTCTCTAACCATATGCAGGAGGAATAATAATTTCCCCTACCCAATGGGTCTTCAATGGAAATTTTTGTAAAATATAATAAAACTAATTATGAGAATATAAAACTTAAAAGTGAGCTGTAGAACACCATCCATATTTTTTATTCATAGAATCAATGCCAAAACAACTAATTTCTAGTTACTAAAAATGTTTCTAACGATTTACTCTCACTTATCATTCAAAAACCTGAGCTTGGGTGTGTACTTTGAGTGCCACTGTTTTTGGTTTTTTATAAAGTATTTTGTTTCATACAAACTGAGCCTGCTACCCACTTCAAATTTAATACATCAAAAAAACTAGACAGCGTCAGAGGAAAATATAGGTAGACTTTCACTCAGGAAGAAAGCCACTTTATGAAATCTCTGCCTTAGTTGAAACAATATGTCTATGTATCTTTTCCAAAAGTGGAACACTGGAATCCCCTATACACCAAACTACAGATAAACAGGCTTCAATAACATTCTTTTCCATTATCAGAAGACTTAATGAGTGAGAAGTTTTCCCAGTATTATCAGGCCAAAAGTGAAAGAAATTTTTCCCACTATTTCTCAGATCTAAGTATAATTGTATGACTTTATATCTCATCATGATAATCTTCCATAATCTACAACCATCTGTGATTCCTTGCTTCCCTTAATAATGCCAAGGAGGTGTGGCTTGTAATAGAACAAAAAAAGGACTGGGTATCAGCACTCTGCCAAACTTATTTATATTTCCATCCATAAACTTCCCTCTTCATTTCTGCTATGTGCCATTCATTGAAATTTGAAGAATCTGATCGCAATTTAATGAAATAGCTGCTGGTGTCATCCCTCCAGTTTGAGGACCTACTGTTCATAACCCTACTTCTCTTCTTCACATTCACTGTCATTCTTCCTCCTGTGAGCCAGAAATTATAGTAAAGGTTTTCATTTTCATATATTTCCCTAGAAAGCACCACTAGGAGAGACCATACCTGCTCTTTTCCTGGATCAGGATGAGATCCTAGACCACTAATCTCTGGTCAAAATCCTGTCCCATTCACAAAAATCTCTCTAAAAGACACTGCCAGTAATCATTAATCATCAATTTTTAAAGTTAATCATAATCCATTTATGGAGTAATCATGTCGAAAATGTCTGGCAAATTAAAAAAATACACCAATACATATTAAATAATTTATAATGTTTATATATTTTACATATAACATTTATATTGTTTGCCAGATAATTTAGCAAATCTAAAGTTTTGAGTTCCATGAGACAGTAACTATTACACAGTGTCTCCAAGAATTCTTGATTTACAATTGACTTCTTACAAATATTGTTAATAAACTAAGTACACAAACATACACACAGTAGTGACAGTTATCTTAAAAAATGAAAATGTAATTCTAATGGTGAATACTCATTTTATTATATATATTTTTTATACCTTATAACAACCGCTATTGCTCCAGACTCTGAGATCTATAATTAGATAATTTGACATGAACAATAAGAAAGTTACTGACTGCTATGTCAGGTTTAAAAATCACTGTGAGAGAAGGTGGTGCTGAAAGGTGTTATGCATGAAACCCTATCAGCAACAGGATGGTAAACGGAAACCACAGAGCAAACACACACACCCACACACACACACACACACACACACACAAAGACTGATAGAAGGGAGACAACTGGGAGAAATAGGGGTGGAGTGTTCATTTGGTAGAGGGAAGTGAACATTGGTGAAGGGATCAGTGTTGTAAAATTGTATGCCTGAAACCTAATGATGAATAACTTTGTGATTTCATGTGACTAAAAGTAAATTTTAAAAATTAATGGATTTTAATAAACTAAAATGGAGAAAAAAAACCTAAATACTTAACATCAGTTGGTTTTGTGAATAAAAAATAGTAAAAATCGCTGTGATAATCCATTGAAATAATTTTCTGATTTTCATTTTCCTTCCTACTGATTTCCAGGCCAGTATCTATTTTTCATAGTTTCTCAAAGTTTTCATCTTAATTGATATTAAAAACATAAATTTTATGCTACAAAATGAAAAATTACATTCTATTTCTTATTCATTTTACTTTTGACTTTTTTCTTTATTCAATGAATGAATTCTATCCAACTGTTGCACAGAATGAAAACCTGAGAAATTCCTTTTGTCTTAGACCTCCAAATCAGCAACAAGTATAAGAGCACAGTTTCTACACTAATAGATCTCAGCTCGGAGACTTGAACCTATTGCATGAACTTTGCTAAGTGTTCTGTACTGACTTTGAATAATCCTCCAGAACATCAAGAGACAGGATGCTACACAAATAAAGTCAAAAACAATGAACATGAGCTCACCAGTATTGGTAAACCACATGGTCTCATAACTCTTTGGGGTTGAGTTTATGCACATTGAGGATAGTAAGTGTACTTAAAGTTGGATGACCAGTTAAGGTGGAATAATTCTGAACAGAAATATACGGAATATTTTGAGAACTTCTAGAAGCAGTGACAAAAAAAGAAAAAAAAAAGGAATTGCTCTGAACTCCCAAGAAACAGCAGCCTGGCAACCACAGAAAGAAAAAGGTTGCTTTCCTTTGAACAAAGACTTGGAGTCAACTGTGAGAGGAAGAGGCATAAGCATTGACACAGTTTTCAAATAACACTGGAGATGCACAACAAATAACATTTCACCTCTGATTAGTATGTAAAGGGTTAGTTTCCATTGGCCTCAGCGACAAAACTGAAGAGCAATTTACGGGTATTTTGTTTGAAAATAAAGACTTAAAGTCACCATCCACAGAGAACTACATATCATGTTCATAAAGTAGTGCTATTTAAATAAATTCTCGTAGAGAATCTGCTTGTTTTCCATTTTTGCATTCTGTGGTGAAATAAAGTAATGCTTTCAAAATACTTTAAGAAGATATGCAAAGTTTCCACATAAGTGAAATGCTATAGCTTTAGTGGAATCTATTTCTTGAAAACGTTTTCAGAATGTTTTGAAAGAAATAAGAAAATAAAATTCCTCAATGTAATACAAGTAAAATAGAAGCCAAAAAAAGAAAAAAGCTAAATAGTTGTCTTTTATCTCTTGGAATAATGTCTGCCTGCCACAAATTAAGCCAGAGTACACATCTTTGACAGTCAAATGTTTTTGAATACTTCTCCCTGAACTTAAAATATCACGAGGTTTCCTTTTCACCTCTACCCTTCAAGCAGTGATGCAGTTCCCAACACCTGCAAACTCAGACATACAAAAGGGAACAAGTCTTACCAGACCATCACAGTTGCTAATGGCAACAGAGGTTCCTGGAATGTCCATGATGTCACCAACATAAGCGCAATTAGTCTGCAATGGCTCCATTTTCCAGATTCTTTCAGAAATACCACCTGGCTGATGATCATCCCTGGGGCTGGTTATATTCCCAGGCCCCAGATCAGTCTCGTGCCATTCCACAACAGCTCCCGGTGCGACCAGCTGAAAATTGGGTTTTAGTCGAAGATGGAAATCTCTTCCAAATGCTGAGATGTTAAAGAACAACTGTTCTGAGTTGGAAGAAACGTCTCTTGTTGACCTCTTTTTGTGATTTGCAGAAAGAACATGGGAGAGATACTGTCCTTCTAGGTTTGTGCTGACTGGAGTCACTAGCTCATACTCCCTCTGCTTCTTTGTTGGTAAATCTGTTGAATGAAAAATAGAATTGTAGAACCCTGTGAGACAAGAAAAAAACAGGAGAACATAACAGGCATCAAAGGCCTGTATCACAAGACAACACCACAATTTACATAATAAAATATACCTGGATCATCTGAGTAATAAATTTTGAAAGCATCAATCATTTTCTCAGCGGCATTTAGATAGCTCTATGTTGAATAAAATATTTTTCTATCTTATAAAAAGATCATTATGATTATTCATACTTCATTATGTTTGAATACATATACATAAGCTTAGCTTGCCTGCTTATATTATGTTTACTCCTAATTAATTAATTGTTGGTATAACTGTCAACTGCTATAAATGTTTAACAAAGTTGCCCTAGATAGAATAATTACATTCTGATAGATTTTATTTCTTCCCTGTAAGAATCCTAGAATTCATATTATTTAAAATAGATATATTATGCTGCATCTACCATAGGCCTATAATTTGAAAATCATATTTCATGGACTCTATCTATGAATGTATTCCATCATAACAACCCTAATAATCATAATTCACAGGTAAGGAAGCTTAGATATAAGAGGCATGTTCTAAGGTCAAACAACAAATTCAAATGTCATCTCAAGTCATACTTTGAAGTTCACATACTTATTTCTTCATCATTTCATGTCCCATAAATCACTGAACATTTTCAGAAAATTAGAAGAAAGGATTTTTAGAAAATAAATTATCTATACATTGAATTACAGTCTAGAGCAAATGGCATTTTACATTCTATTCCTCATATGGGACAGAATCATCTCCATGAACATCTATCTGGAATCTACTTTTCAATACACGTGGTCACAAGTCCTTTGATATAATCAAATGTGAACATTGTGGCTGCTAAAATAAAATGATCTGAGGGAAAGATATCACAGTGAATGATTTGTTAATCCTTTAATAGGAACAATTTTGAAAGCAGAAATCAGTGGATACCAGCTGAGGAAAAGAAAATGAGGAAGAAAACTAGAAAAAAAATAATAACGAGGAGGAAACAGCACTACAGCTGATTCTTGAGCACAGAGGAAAGAGTCACAATTGAGCATCTTTGTGTTCCTTCCCCAAAAAACAAAAAAAACTTTCAATAAAAGAAAGCCTGTAAGGAAGCATCTGAAAAAAATGAATTTAAAAGTTTCTACCTTCATACCTATCATAAACTATCCCTGTATATAAAGGACACGGAAAAAATTGCTCATAAATACTACTCACCAACAGAAAATGTATGTCATGTGTCATTCAAGAAAGTAGAGCATAAGACACAAAAATGAGCCTACATCCTATGCTAATGAAGTATTCTTATGGAATCTCTGTTTTTATTATGTTCCCACTTTTAAAATACTTCAAAAAATGTCCAGGTAAAAAAGACAAATGAGGGTGTTGTTCAATTTGGAGGCTCTTTGAGTCGCTGTTTGTTATGATTATGCCACTTAGAATGACTAGCGTATTTAAACAGAATATCTTTATTAAATGCATACAGCAAGGAACAGTGTTGTAAATATTTACTAGGCAGAGGAAGAATGTGACTGTCATCACAGAGACAAGTGACTGGCCCCAATTGTAGCTGCATCAGCACCACAATCCCTGAATGTATCTGAATATACCTTCTCTATATCATTGTCAAGGACCTAGACTGGGTATTTAGTGTGTACACAATCTCAAAGATTTGAACTCCCTTACAACCAAATCCATGATGAATACTTTTTAAAAAATCCCACTTTGAGAACTTGATATTGGGGAAAAGAAATCAAATATCTGGAAAGGCAGGGGGAATGGGGAATTTCCACACTAAAGGAAAATCAAGCTCTTAGATGTTGACTGACAGAGTCTAATGCAAATTAAGCATCAATTCCTTGAGGACCATGAATTCTTCTTTCAACTTGGTATTTTAGAAGCCATTTAATACAAAATTTTGTATCTACCAGGATCTCTTGTCAGTAGAATTTGTTTAATGCACATCAAGTTACTATGTTTAACATATACAATGTTAGGAATGTTAAGTGACCAGAGAACTTTTGCTTTGTTTTTGCTGCAGTATGTTCTGCCTTACAAGACCTGCTACCCAAAGCCCAGAACATCTGGCTAAATCAATAAGCCCAGTTATAACTCCTTCTCTAGCCATCGGTTTACAAGTTAAGAAAAGAAAAATGCTTACTTTCAATGTATGGATTTCCCATATTCACTGCAATTCACAGAATACAAGAGTAGACTATGCACTCGTGCCTAGATTAAGTGACTAGAGAACTAGAAATTTTAGGAAGAATGCAGAGGCTCTTTCAAACCAAAAGAACAGTGAAAGCCCCACGCATCTAGGACGCCAGTTACACCCTAGATTGTCTGGGCGCAGTTCCGATTTTTGCTGGCAGACTATAAGGTCAGAATTTTTATTCAAAATAAAAATGGCATCATTCTATGGAGCTTTATCTTCTCAACTGCTATATAATAAATCATCCCTAAATGTACACACAAGAAATATTGCTGAAACTAAACCCTGAATGAATAATTATCCAATGGGATCTTAAAGTAACCAAGAGAAATGATGCTCTTAGCCACCCTTGAGATTCCTTCCAGCTCAACGAGCTGATGACCAAGTTGATACCCAGTCACCTGCCATTTGTGAACAATATCAATGGACACTGTGATTTGTGCTTGAGAATATGTCTTCTCTTTCTCCACAACAACCACAGCAGATAGATAATATTACCTCTAACTTATAAATGAGAAGGCAGACATAAAAGTTCGGGTCTAATCCTTTTGAGTCTGAAGTCCCTGCTGCCATCTGTCTCTCTCTTTTGGGAGACAGGGGAGTTGGAGGTCACATCTGGTGGTGCTCAGGATTCCAGATCTTACTACAGTCTCTGCAGTCAGAGACCACTCCTGGTCGTACTCAGGTTACCATATGGGCAGCTGGGGATTGAACCCAGGCTGGCCGCTTGCAAAATAAGCATCCTATGTCTTGGGCTACCTCTCTAGCCTCATAGCTCTCATGTTGAACAAAGAAATCTTAACTACATGTTTTCTTCTAATACTCTATCACTATGCTTCCTTTTGTAGCAAAGCTCTTCAAAAAATAGCTAATAACAGAGGTATCCAATTCTCTTGCCATACTCATCTTTCTCCAACCAACTCCAATCAAGGTCTTGTTGAGTTCACTAGTGATGGCATATTGCCAAACCATGTTACCTTCTAGGACACCATTCCTTCCAGTTTTCCTTGTTCCTCAGTAATCTCACCTCATACTTTCTTCTCCACACCCTATTTTTCTATAACCTATACACACACACTGCACTACTGCCTGGGGCCCTGGATTATTCTCTTAAACACAAACCCTTTCTAGCTTTAGGTTCTGGGGAATGATATGGAAGTGAGCTAATCCCATTTTTTTTTTTTTTGCTGTGAAGGCCATAATAGTTATTTCTCTCAACTCTGGGCTTCATCAATGAACTCTTCCCTAGCTAAGTCATTTGCCTATGCATCCTCTCCATGTATTCACCAAGCATCTCAATTTAATATTTACAGAAAATAAAGTTTCTAATTACATCCTACCATACATGTTCTCCTTTCCCATGTCAGTAAATGGCAACACACCCTCCCTATTATTCAAGCCAAAAATGTGACTAAGTCATCCTTAACTCTTCTTACCCACAAGCCAAATCTCACATATCTTTTTTAGGTTCTTAAGTCAAGCTTTTCTGTGCACATTGATTCTAGCAATACTACATGCATTTCTCTTTATGTTGTAATGATAAATGCTTTTATAGAATATGGCACTACTTCTGCATTTGGATATTTTCGTTTTTATTGATTTTTCATTATAAGGAATCAATCAACTGCACTGGAAATGTCATTGAAATTCAATTTAATTCATTCTATTTGATTAATTCCTTGAAAGTACAAAATGAATGCCTATTCTGTTTTGTTTTGTTTTGTTTGCTTTTGGGTCACACCCGGCAATGCACAGGGGTTACTCCTGGCTCTGCACTCAGGAATTACTCCTGGCGGTGCTCAGAGGACCATATGGGATGCTGGGACTCAAACCTGGGTTGGCCGCGTGCAAGGCAAATGCCCTACCCGCTGTGCTATTTCTCCAGCCACGGTTTTTTCTTTTTTTTTGATGACCATCACTCTATTGTGGCTGGTCCTGTAGGTCTTCGGCTGCCGGAGCCCTGGTCAGGGCGGGGAGGAAAGCTCAACCCGCTCCCCTCCAAAGGGTCCCAGCGAGGACAGCCAGGCGCGGCGGCAGCAGACTCCATGACCAGCCACCACCATGCTGAGACCACTCTCCGCACACCTGAAGGTACCGGCAGAGGAACAAAGGCAAGCGGGTCCCGGGGCCGAGATCTCCAAGCTTACTCAGATCAGGGCTGAGCATCCTCCACCCAGACCCTCCAAATTCCAATAGGCGGGGGTCACACCCACCAACTGGCCCCCTGGCGCCATGTAATCCCATCAACAGCCAAGACTCAGAGACTATAAAAACCAGCTCCCAGAAGAGAACAGTGCAATCTCCTGCCCCCACGACTGGCTGTCTTCACTGGGGCCCCTTGGAGGGGAGTGGGTTGAGCTTTCCTCCCTGCCCCGACCAGGGTTCCGGCAGCCGAAGACCTCCAGGACCAGCTACCACCATGCTGAGACCACTCTCCATACACCTGAAGGTACCGGCAGAGGAACAAAGTCAAGTAGGTCCCAGGGCTGAGATATCCAAGCCTACTCGGATCGGGGCTGAGCATCCTCCACCCAGATCCTCCAAATTCCAGTAGGCAGGGGTCACACCCACCAACTGGCCCCCTGACGCCGTGTAATCCCATCAATATCCAAGACTCAGAGACTATAAAAATCAGCTCCCGGAACCGCACGGCCGTGAATGACATCTTATTATGATATCTTATTATCTCATTCCTACTTTGAACAAACTGGCAGGCTACCAAATGTAACCTGCCTACATGGCAGAGTCTGGCAAACTCCCCGTGGCATACCCAATATGCCAAATACCAGTAACAATGATGGG